ACCCTCCCTCCCCTTCCTCTGCCCCCTACCTGGTATCCCATTCATCAGAGCCAGCTTTGTATTTGTAAGTGGGTTGGAAGTTGATCTCTCCCTCTGTGAAGTCTTCAAACACCCTCTTTGCCTCCATTTGGTTCTTCAGCTGGCAAGAGAAGGAAGCAAAGACACTAGAAGAGCCCTTGGTCACTAGAAGAGCACCTCAGGCTGGAACCTTCATCTCCGAGGAGCAGCGCGGCCAGCTTTGTTTTGGTGCACCTGAGAATGCCAGCAAGCAAAAGACCATGCAGAAGACATGCATCTGATTTCTTCTCGTTTGTTCAAGGGCAAAATTCAAGCACGTTCTCTCAGTTCCAGCATGCTTGCAATAATAGGAAATTATCTCCTCCCAATTTTGATGGATTTCAACAGACAAAATGATGAATGTGCCAAAACCCTACAAGCTACAGCTTTAAGTCAGCCATTATTTTTATTTCCTAAAATCCTGATCCTACTTCAGGAGGCTTTCATTTCAAGCAGAAATGCTTAGGCTGTTACAGGAAATGTACTTTCTTAGAAAGCCCACTAAAATTAGGGAACAAAGTGGCTTTGTGGCTGTCAAACAGTATTGAACTGTAAAGTTCCTCTAGGCAGCATATAATACTGTACATAAATATGGCAACTTTTTAGAAACCTGATTGTAAGGCTTCACCCAAACTAATACCTAAACTAGAAGTCTTGCAACAGAGGTTCCAGGGTGCAACTTGGGTAAGATACTTTTACCCAGATACTAGAAAAGTTCCCAGGAATGGGGGGAAAAAAACCTGGCCATTTCTTGCTCTGTTAAATCTCAATCTTTCACAGTGCTGTTCCAGCAGCTCTCTGGGCTGCTCCTCAGAAGCAGAGGAAGCAGCTGCCTTAGGGGCCTTCTTGGTATTACTTCCGCCAGCAGACTGCCCTACCTTGCAGTTCTTTTCTGAACAAAATGGGAGGCCAAGCTCCTAGAAGGACAGGATACATGATAAAGTAAATCAATCAATATAACCTGTCATTATCCAACAAGAGGAAAGGAAGCAGCATGCCTCATATGATGGATTTCCTTTCTACTTCTTACTTCCTTTGGAAAGGAAAAAAAAAAAGAATGTTCTTTCCTTGTTCATCCAGCCTGCCTGAAAACATGCTTTACATTATAACTGACTGTGTTCTGTGACTCATCTGAGCAGGACAACAATTATTTGGCCTGAAAGATGGAGACATCTCACTTCTAAGTCCTGCTGTGCTGCCTCATTGTATTGGGTAGGGTGAGGGGGGTTCCTGGGAGGGATGAGCGAAGAATATTGGGAGTGTATGCCAAGAGTATATATTCCCAGCAGGGTCACTCAAGGGGTGAAGGTCATCCCAGCTGCCCAGCTAAAGCAAGCAAGCACCTATATTGGGCAGCAGTGATAATAAGAAGATGCTGGAGGTGGAAGATCACTTTAGTGACAATGGCAAAGGCATCCATTCATACTGTGTGGGAGAAAGCAATGGTAAACCACTCCTGTATTTTTACCAAGAAAGCCATATGGATAGAAAATATAAAATAATTGACGATATAGTGCTGGATGATGGGCCTCTTAGGTCGCATGGCACTCAATGTGCTATTGGGGAAGAGCTGATGATCTTTTGGAATGCTAATGGTATTTATAATTAAAACTAGATTAAAGCCTTGGTTGCTGATGTTGCCTTACAGAAAAAGAAAATCTGAAGCTGCAATGATAGAATTACAGTAGGAACGTGAACACGGGAAAGCTCAACACAGTGAAAGATGAAATGAAGCAACTACAAATTGACATCTTAGGCATCAGCAAATTGAGATGGACTGGAATTGGACACTTTCAGTCAGTAGATCACACTGTTTATTACTCAGGACATGGAAAACAAAGAAGGGATGGTGTTACTTTTACAGTTAGGGAGGATATAACAAGAACAGTACTTGGCTGCCATGCAACCAATGATCAAATAATATTAATTAGAGTTCATGGACTCATATTAAAGGGTTGCTTTAATATGACAATCATTCAAGTTTATGCTCCAACCACTGATGCAGAAGAGGAGGAGGTAAGTTTTATGATCAAGTTCAATTTGACAGAACGCACAAGAAGATGCACTGCTTGTGATTGGAGACTGGAATACCAAAGTTGGAAACCTTCAAGAGGAAACTGTAGTTCGATTGTATGAATTAGGAAACTGAAATGAAGGAGACTGTTATGGCCCAGGCTCAGGACTCAGATTCCGAATCTGACCCTGAAGAAGCTGCTTCAGCTGAGCCTGTGGAACGTCAGCCTCAGGAAAGACAAAGCCAGGAATCACCCGAGGCTAACCAAACACAGGCACCACCTGAGCAGCTGGAGAAGTCAGATGAGGATGACGTAAGGCCTCCCAGCCCCCACACCTGACGAGTAGAGAAGAGTGGAGCAGTGAAGGTCTGTTAGGCTCCTTGCCAAGCAAGGGAGTAAATCTTGTGATTAGTGACAGCTGGCTGCAGCCTTCTATTAGAAGCAGCTCTAACCCATGCTCCCTTTGCTGGAAATGGTGTCTCATTCCTGCAAATCCTGTTTGTGTTTGAAACCTTAAACTTCTGATCTCTGGACTGGCTGACAACCCTGACCTGGCTCTCAGAACCCTGGATTTGGATTTGGATTACTCTTCTGTGCACTCCTATTTAGAAAGCAAACTCTTCAGGCAAGCCTCAGTTTTGTTTACATTGCTTTGTTTGCTGTTATCTCTTCAGCCTTGGAGTAAAATTGCTAAACTCCATAAGCAACCACATGTGAGTGTGTGTGGTTGAAACCTGAAGCAGGACAGTTTGTTTTTAGCCCAGTTATCTCTTAGTTGACTGGGGAGGGAAACTCTTTCTAACAGCACGGAGCAACTTGCTGCTGAGAACACACAGCTGACTCAGCAGCTTGCTTTACTCTCAGCTCAGCTGTAAGCCCAAGCAGTACAACCAGCAGCTGCAGCAGCACATACCCCCAATGCAGAAAATGTCTTATTTTTACAAAAGACCAGAACATCTTACCAGCAATCATTGCCCAGATAAGCAGAGATTAACACCAAGATTATCACCAGACATACAATCAGCAGTAAGCAATACCCTAATCAAGAAACTACCAGGAGGAACCCCCCCCCAACACTGGTGGGGCAGGCCACTGTATATAAACAGAGAGCAAACCCCATTCCGTTCTAGCACTGAAGATGTTACCTAGCCAGGTAACAAAAAATTTGCAAGAACAGAACCAAGCTCAGAGAACCCCAAGGACTCCACAATGTCTTATTGCCTGCCCAGAAAAATTTAATGGGATGCTGTCTCAATTTCCTGCCTTCTGGGGACAATGCAATCTGCACATGGGTGGGTGTGGGGGGGGGGGGGGGAGATTTTCCAACAGACAGGCATTGAGTTGGTTTTGTGATCAGTCTCTCAGCTGGAAATGCTGCTAGGTGGGCCACACCATTGTTAACACAACAGAGTCCCCTGCTGGATTACTTTGCTGCATTTAGTCAACTGGTCCAAACCATATATACTAACCCTGTGAAAGCTCAGACAGCAAATCGCCAAATTCAAGAACTGAAATAAGGGTGCAGCTCAGCGGCTAAATAAGTGATCATCTCCCAAGATCTGGCCTGGAATGAAGTGGCACTTATGTTTCAGAAAGGGTTGGCAGATGAAATTCTGGATGAGCTAATAACTGAATGCCCAGGTATGATGCAGGAGTTAGTTCAGCTGTGCCTTAGAATGGAAGGGCACTTACAACAACAAAAAGCTAGAGCTCGAGCTAACAAACATGTTGCCAAACCTGTAGCACCTCAGCCTTCAGAAAACGACCACAGAAGAACCCATGCTGGTTGGGGGTGCCTGTCCCTGACTGACAGATACGGAAAAGGCATGGAGGCATAGAGGGGCTGTGTTTGTACTGTAGGGGCCAGGGACATAGAGCAGCCACATGCCCTGTCAAGGAAACAAACTCAGCCCTCTTGGGACATGGACCCGCCCAGTTTAGGTGGGCTGCTAAACTGGGGACAAGTTCTGGCAACACAAGGCCAAACCCCATGTTCTACTCCATCCAAGCACCTAGTGGTCTGAGTTTTATTGAAGCTACTGGGGAAGCCTGCCTTGGAAACCTGGGCTGTGGTTGACTCAGGCCACTGCTAATTTTATGGATCTTAAATTTGCCAAGGACCAGGGAATTCCCAAACATCCAGTTAAATCACCCCTGGTTGTGGAGATCATTGATGGCCACACTTTGGTATCCTGGGCAACAGAGAAATTAAAGATGAGCTAGAGACTCATTGTGAAGAGGTTGAATTTTATTTAGCCTCTGCATCCCACTTCCCCACTGTCTTGGGTTTGGAATGGCTACAGACTCACGACCCTCACACTGTCTGATCTACTGACACCATAATGTTTGCTACCCCCTGTTGCAACCATCACCTGGTAGCCATTCCTGTGACATTACCAGCTGAACAAGAGGGAGAGATGCTTCATGACCTTCCATTGAAACACCGAGACTTTGCAGATTTATTCAGTGAAGGGGAAGCACCCCCACATCATCTGTATGACTGCACTATTGATCTAGTACTCGGGGCGAAGATTCCAGTTGGATGTCTCTACTCCCTATCAGAACCTGAGTTGGCAGCCTTGAGGGACTTCATTGATAAAAATCTGAAAAGAAGTTTTATTCGATCCTTGTTCTCTCCCACAGCAGATCCTGCATTATTTGTCAAAAAGAACTTGGGAGAACTCTGCAGTGATTACCATCAATTGAACCAGATTACTGTGTGCAATCATTATCCCTTGCCACTCATTTCAGAACTTCTAGAATGCCTCCGAAATGCCTGGGTGGTTAGCAAGCTGGACCTCAGAGGAGCATATAACTTAGTGCACTGTAATGGATGGCATGAGCGGGGAAGATTCTGCAATGGAAGTTCAAGGTTGTCA